CAAAAAAGACAAAAAACAAACTGAGGTTTGATGGAGATATGTGGGTGGGGGATGGGCTAGGTGGGGGATGAGTATTAAAAAGGGCAGTTAATGTGAGGAGCACGGGGTGTTGTATGTAAGTAATGATCACTGAATCCTACTCCAGAAACCAATATTGCACTATATATTAACTTAAGAAAATTTTAAATAAATAAAACTTAAGGCAAGCTATAAAAATAAAATTAGTGGGTTTGAGAAAAATCCAGATATTTGTATAATCTTCAAGTATTTCCCCAAAGGTATTTATTAGCTATGAAGGGAAAGATAGTAGCTTCACAATGGATTAATGGGGTAAACGCCACCTTAACCTAGTGATAAAGGTTAACATTATCATTAATGAGGCATATCAGCATCATAAACCCATTAATATCATGCACTAAGAAAGAGATAAAATCACTTCTGTGATATTCCTCCCAAAAATACTTAACTTCTTTCCAATCATGAGGAAATCGACAAACCCAAATTAAGGGACCCTACAAAATAACTCCTCAGTATTCTTCATAGTAAGCTCATGAAAGACAGAAAGGCTGAGGAACTTACAGATTGGAGAAGACAAAGGGGAAAAAAAGCAACTAAATGCCATATGAGATCCTGGATCAGAGAAAAAATATTAGTGGAGAAACCAGTAAATTTTGATTAGCTTGATTTAATGTATTGTGCCAGTTTAAATTCCTGGTTTTGATCATTGTACCCTGGTCATATAAAACATTAACATTAGGACAAGTAGGGTGAATGGTATGTGGGAATTGTGTCCTACTTTTGCAACTTTACTGTAAGTCTAAAATTGGTTCAAAATTAAAAATTAAAAAATAGAAAACACCAGAATCCTTTCATTTACTCACTTAGCAAATATTATTGAGTACCTACTTTGAGCCACATACAGAGAGCATTCAAAGTAGAATAATAAGACAGAATAGGTTCCTGCCTTCATGGAAGCTAACATCACACAAGGGTGAGGTATAAATAAAAATGACTATACAAATAATTACAATGACAAGAAAGTGCTAGCAAAAACAGAAAGGTGTAAATGAGGAACCTCACTTGGTCTGTGATATAAAAATCTTCCTTGATTTAAGCTGAGATCTGAAGGAAGAGTAGGTATTGTCTGGAGAGGAGGGGCAGGGGAGATATACCATACGTGGCACACTTAAGGACTTAAAAGCAGAACAGTGTAAATGAATCCTCAAAAACAAGCCAGGGGAGTGGCTTGAGAAGTCAGGGAGAAGGTCATAAGATTTTTTATGGCTTTATCCTCCAACCTAAGAACTGTAGGGAGGTACTAAAGAATTTCAAAGTGAGGTACTGATGTGATCAGGTTTATATACTTTACAAGTAAAGATGACTTTACTTCACCTGTGGAGGGAACAAAAATAGATACTGGAAAATCCTATGGAACAATAATATGTAAACGGTAAGCAGAGGAAAAGGGACTAGCGCATAGCTCACTGAGAAAGACTGGACATAAAGCAAAGCACAGTTGTCAGCAGTGTCAGATACTCATCAGAGCCCAAAAAGCAATGAACTCCAATGCTTGAACATAAGGGGTTTTGGTATTCCTAACCAGAGCAATTTCAGTGCTGTGCTGATGCCAGAACAGAAGAAAGGTCACAGATAATTGAAAAATAAGTCAGTAATGGAGAAATAGAGACAAGTATTAACAATCCTTTGAAGAGTTGTAGCTTTGAAAAAAGAATGAATGGTAGTTAGAAATGGGCACATAACCAGTGAAAGTTTAATGTTGGGAGATATAGTAAAAGGTTTTAAATTATGGCAGGAAGGAGTCAATAAAAACAACAGATAAAGATGAAGATAGAAGAATGAGAAGTTATGTACTAGATTCAGGTGTGTAGGAGGCTGGAGAGAATGGTCTGATTCCAGGGAAGAAATACTTTTTAATGCAATCCATGGACCAAGAATAACCTCCTCCCCAGAGATGCTATTTCATAATGTCTGGGATAAGACCAGTGAATCTGCTTTTCAGCAAATGGTATGATTCAAGTGATCTTCAGACCACACTTTAATAAACACTGCTTTTTCCTATTTTTCCCTTACATTGAGCCACTCCTGCCTTCACTTCCTTACCCATCCATCCAATCCAGAACCTAAGGTCTCCTGATTCATAGTGTAGTGTTTTATAAGGTAAGAAAGACTTCAAAAGTGCTATGATACTAGAAGTAGGTGCCTGAAGTAGAATGAAGATGAAAATCATTGGCATTGAAGAAATTAAGGAAATGAGAGGCTCTGATAGTTGTTCTGAATCCCTGCTTGCATCAGAATCATTTGTGAGGCACTTAAAAAAATGTGTAGAGGCCAGACTTCACCTCAACAGATTCTGGTTTAGTATGTCTTGGGTGGAGCCTGGACATGTATACATTTACATATGTATAATTTAAAATCTGGGCCCAGATTGAGAACTACTACATGAGTTTTCCACATGGTTGATAAAGTTCACTTAGATTTTTGGAAGAGCTTGGAGGAAAAAGCGTGTTAAGCCCAAAGTCATTCTTCATCTGAATTGATTACAATTCTGGTATTCCTTAGGCAGTCAAGGGAATTGTTACTTTCCAAGCCATCATGGTTAGTTATTTGAAAAAAGCCTGTGGTAATCCCACAGGCTTCTCTGGAAAAGTCTATGAGTGTATTATATGAAAAATTGCACACAGTTTGGGGGTGGGGAGTGGTTGGTTTTTAGGAGTTTTGTGTGTGTATCTTTCCAATACAGGAATTAAAAGGGAAATTATGAGAAAAGGGGAATCAGATTTTAAAATGGTAGAGAACAAGTACTGAGAAGGAAACATAGAGAATGAGTACTAAAAAGAACTTCAGCGTATACTAGAAGGAATCTAGGGCTGTGAACCAGATCTTCAGTTTCAGAATCCTTCATTAAATCAAAAAACTGAGAACTAAATCAGTGTTTCCAAAGGTGTGTTCTCTGGAGCCCTAGTCTCATCAGATGCCATAAAAAATTCTCGAATAACAAAATTTCCATAAAATATACAATATATTTGATATGTTCCTCATCTCCTTGGGCTCACACATATGAAGGAGAAACCCTGTTCTCCCTAACTTGGTAAATGCAGTTTTGTTTTGTTTTTTGGTTGTTGTAAATAGGTTGTTTTGAAGTAATCTGACGTTTCAAATGTCAGAGTATTCACATAGATTCAGTCTGAGTCTTCATAGAGTAGGACCTTTTTAGAGCTTTTCCTTAGTGAAATAGGACCTGCTTCTTGAAGTGCTTTTAAATTACTCCTGAAAGGTCTTCCCCTTACTCAACTGTTTCTAAAATTGTGGATTCATGCCATATCTTGAGCAGTGAATGGCTTCCTCATCTAATAGGACTATTCCACTGGAACTGTGATTTTCTCATTTAAAAAAAATTGCTTCTCAAGAATGACTTCATTCTTCAGTTCCATTACTAACTTTTGAGAGAACTTTTTCAGGCCCAGTTTTGTGCACAGAAAAGAATGTATTGTTCCATGTTTATTAGCAGTTCAATACATTTTACTCTGTTGTTAATGTTAGTAAAAGTCTTTCGAAAATCTTTCACCATGCAAGGACTACATGTTTTCTGAGAAGAGGGTGCATAAGAACTGAGGCCAAAGTTTGTTGTAGCTGATCTGTACATCTCTGCTTTTTGTAATGTGTGAATTTGAGAAATTCTAAAAATGCTTTTTGATTGTTTTTAAAGAACGCCACACTGTAGTGTGCCCTGTCTTTATGAACGGGTAGTTTATATGTTTCTTTACAGATTCTCTAGGTCCCTAGGTGACTGAGGCTGCTGGATTTCTTTTGTTGACTGGTGCATCTCATTACAGGTTCTCAATCTGATATTGTATCTTACAAGATCCCTGGTGAGAGAGATTTGAATATCATAGTAAAGTCTGTACATGAAGGATTGATGCCTTTAGGGGAAGAAAAAGTAATAGCCATCTTCAGGAGCACCCACATCTCTCTTGCATGAACAAAGCAAGATCCTGAGAGTGGCTGCCCCTGAGAAGCAGCAATCATTCTTGTGGGTAACCATTGGCTTCTGAGGCTCTCATCAGAGATGAGGCACCTTTAATATCTCCATAAGGTTCTGGAAAATCAGCTTTCAGGGAATGACAAGGACCCTGAAGCTATTAGTACTAGTGTATCTACTGACTGTCCTAGAAGAAAGCAAAGCTTTGATGACATTACAAACTAAGAACTGCAGAGAGGTGTAGTAATCCTGGTGGAGGACTGAATCTAGGTACTCAAAAAAGAGGTGAACATTCTGAAAAATGAGAAGAGTGAATTCTCCTTTGTATATTATTAGAACATCTTAGAAAGAGTAAAGGAGAAATCTCTGGAGTTTGAGTTTGGGGATGAATTTATCCCCTTAAAGAATTAAAGATTAGGCCCTCAACATATGTTTTCTGTATCAACTCATCTCAGTGGTTCTCATCTCCTACTTAGAATCATTTAGAGACTTTAGAATTTAAAATGCTGTTTCCCAGGCCCATCCTAGACCAATTCGGATAATACCCGACTTACCCAAATCTCTGGGCTAGAGGGGTAATGGGTATTAAGGAGGGCACTTGTTACAATGAACACTGGGTATTGTATGTAAGTGATGAATCACTTATTTCCACTCCTGAAACAAATATTTATCTATATGTTAACTAACTAGAATTTAAATTTAAAAACAAAAACAAAAAGCAAATCTCTGGGAATAGGGGATGAGCACTAGCATTTTTTAAAAATCCCCCAGGTGTGTAGTCAGGGCGAAGCACCACTGAGCTTTCTTTAGCTTCTCATATGCCACAATAAGAGAAAGTCCTACATTGAATTCCTCAATAAGTTATCCAGACTTTGAGCTTATGTCTTAGAAGGCTTCTCTCTAAACTGTCTGCCATTCTGACAAGAAACAAAAATTGCAAGAGTTAGTTTCAGCATTAATATCATATATTTACCAGATGCTCCTTTTTTCTTTTTCCCAGTTATGCCCTCTCACAATGCTATACTTTCCCAAGGGGGGAACATGGAGGAGAAAGAAATGAGTAATGGATCACAGATAGTCAGGTCTCAGGTAAGTTCAGTTTTACTCTCTGAACTGCTGTTATAGTTCTGAGAATATGGGCACTTTTATTTTTCAATTTTCAGAAGTGAATCCAGAGTGCTTCAGACTCTTGGGACAGATGATAATTTCTATAGGATGATTCTCATTCACCTTATATACCCTTTATAGCTCTTCTATCCTCCCAGCATTTTTAGCAGATCATGAGCTCATGTCTGCGCTAGGTATTATAAAAGAAGCAAAAGAAATTATAGACTATCTTTTAATCACCCATCACTTAAACAACTCAACAGACTTAACAACACACGCATTCTCTCTGTAAACAATCAATGATGCCCAGGTCACAATGACTGCTTGGAGCTAATGGCATTATTAAATATGCCTGAGGACATCTGCCAGGAGCTAATGTTTATCAAGAATCTGTTGTACCTCTTGCAAAACCTGTTTAAGCCTCTTGTTACTGTTCTATAATTTAAGTATTACGTAAGCTGATGAGGTATAATTATGACAAGGAGTTGTTTCTGTGAAAAGTAGTTGAATGCTTTGGAAAGACCTTATAAATGTCCGTCACTTTTTTTAAAATTACTGTCACATTATGTGTAAACAAACTGTGACACACTGAGGGAAAATCATAAAAATCTTAGAGGATTCTACACCTATATAATTTCCCAAGTGTCACTTGTTGCACTTTACTGAAACAGAAACTGATTGATGCATTATAGGTATGGACACTTAATCATTAAAATCACTCTCAGAAAAGGCTGTTTCACATCAAAAGATGAGCACATAAATGTACAATTATATATTTCAAATTTAAATGTTTAAGATGCCTTCTATGGATCTCAAGTTTAACTGGCTTTTTAGCTTAATACACCAGATACCAATATCAGTTGCTTTAGATAGGAGGACTTCTATTGTTCCAACTTATATGAGATAAACGTTATCTGTTGGTAGCCAATAAACTCGTCAGAGGAGGTATTTACACACCTAAATCACACAACATTCAAAAAAGTATAATGTTGGGTGCTACTAAGAATGGAAAATACAACAAATACAAGAGGTACTCAGAGAAAGGAGAAATCTGATTGCAACTAGAAGGATAAGGGTAGACTTCCTAAAGAAGATGGAGTTTGAATTTGTGCTGATATTGGTTAGATTTGAAGATTAAATAAGACAGGGCCAGGGCACCTGGGTGGCTCAGTTGTTAAGCATCTGCCTTCAGCTCAGATCATGATCCCAGGGTCCTGGGATCGAGCCCCACATCAGGCTTCCTGCCCAGCCGGGAAGCCTGCTTCTCCCTCTCCCACTTCCCCTGCTTGAGCTCCCTCTCTTGCTGTCTCTTTGCCAAATAAATAAATAAAATATTAAAAAAAAAAAAAAAAAGACAGGGCCGTTGCAGACAGGAAATGAGACTCATACAAGAGCAGGGACAATAAGACTATTAGCCAGAATTGAACATTTACTTGATAAGTTACTGCTTTGGGATCCTTGGGTTGCGGGGAATAGAATTATTCAGTTTACTCTTTTTTTTCTCATTTATTCTTATTTTTATTTTTTTATAAACATATAATGTATTTTTATCCCCAGGGGTACAGGTCTGTGAATCGCCGGGTTTACACACTAAACAGCACTCACCATAGCACATACCCTCCCCAATGTCCACAACCCCACCCCCCCTCTCCTGACCCCCCTTCCCCCAGCAACCCTCAGGGGTTTTTTTTGTGTTTTTTGTTTTGTTTTGTTTTGTTTTCAGCATAACAGTATTCCTTGTTTTTGCACCACACCCAGTGCTCCATGCAATCCATGCCCTCTCTAATACCCACCACCTGGTTCCCCCAATCTCCCACCCCCTGCTGCTTCAAACCCCTCAGATTGTTTTTCAGAGTCCATAGTCTCTCTTAATTATAAGGCTCCCCACAGACAGAACTAGAAAGACATCAAGAACTGAAGTGATATATCTGCTTCTTGGCATTTTAGCCCAAGGGGTTTTAATTCTCCAGAACCACTTATTATGTTAAGAAAGAAGATGGTTCATTCAACAAGTTTTGTTTGTTTGTTTGTTTGTTTGTTTTTGAGCAGCTACAGTGTGCCAGAAATTGTGCTTGGCATCAGATATACACCAGTAGGCAGAATAGATATTCCTAAATCCAAGTTTCTTATAGTGTAACAGAAACAGTCACTCAGCAAATAAAGTAAAAATTGCAAATTGAGATGTTTATTATACAAAATAAGAATAAGGTGCTGTAAATGTACATTAGGGAATCAAGGAAGGTACTCTCTTAAGGAAGTGAAATTTAAGGTGAGATATGAAGGATATATAAAAATTATAAAAACTAAGAGGAAAAAAAGCATTTTAGGCATGTGATAAACGTGTAAAAACCATGGATATATTTAAGAAGTTAAAAGGCCACCATTGTTGAAATGAAGGGAGGGAGAGAGTGACTTGAGATAAACTTGGGGAAGAATGGAGGGCCTACGTACACAGGGCTTTGTGGCCCTGAAGAAAAGCTTCGATTTTATTCCAAATGCACTAGAAAGCCTTGGAAGAGAGGTAAACAGGATAGTAAAATAATAATTAACTGAATTCTACTTTAAAAGTCACTCAGGGGGGCACCTGGGTGGCTCAGTGGGTTAAGCCTCTGCCTTCGGCTCAGGTCATGATCTCAGGCTCCTGGGATCAAGCCCCACATCAGGCTCTCTGCTCAGCGGGGAGCCTGCTTCCCCCTCTCTCTCTGCTTGCCTCTCTGCCTACTTGTGATCTCTCCCTCTGTCAAATAAATAAATAAAATATTGTAAAAAAATAAATAAATAAAAGTCACTCAGGTGTGGCGTGCCTATGTGACTCAGTTGATTAAGTGCCAGACTCTTGGTTCTGGCTCAGGTCGTGATCTTGCCTTCGTGTGATCAAGGCCTTCATTGGGCTCTGTGCTCAGCCTGGAATCTCCTTCAGATTCTCTCTCCCTTTCCCTCCTGCTCTCTCTCAAATAAATAAATTAAATCTTTAAAGAAAAATCACCCAGGTGTGTGGCATATGACAAGTGAATTTGTGAGCAGCAAGAAAGGAAGGAGGAGAAATCCACTTAGGAAGCTACTGCCATATTGTATATGATAGAAAATAACAGCTTAAAACTAGAAGGTAAAGAAAAGTAGGTAGATTTGAGGGCTTTGCTTTGAAAACTGCAGAGATTAGCAAGAGTGGTAAAGACAAAGGAAAAAAAAAAAGGTGATTTCAAAAAGATGTAGCCCAGGAAGTGGCAGGGTAATGGTGAATCAGATCATGTCACTACTCTGCTCAAAATGCATGGCTCCCACTTCAGTCAGATTAAAAGTCAAAGTCTTTACGATGGCCTAAATAGTCTTACGGAATCTGGGCCTGTTACCGCTCTAACTTAATCATTTACTTTTCTACCCCTTGCTCCTTCCACTCTAACCACAGTGGCTACATTCTTCTTCCTTGAACACACCACACACACTGTTGCCTTAGGGCCCTTGTACTGCTAACTTTGCAAGTCTTTTATCAAATGTCACCTCTCTAGTAACATCTTTCCTGACCACCCTATGTAAAATTGCAATGCCTCACCCCTCACATTGTCAGAACCTCTTACTCTACTCTTCTTTTATCTTCTAACATAATGTATAATTTACCCAGTTATCATATTTTTTGTCTACTTTCCACTGCTAGAATATAAGTTTCATAAGGGTGGGGAATGTTAGTCTTTTTCTTTACCCACTTGTATATCTCAAGCACCATGATTGTCACTTAGGAAGTACTGAGGATTTGTTGAACGAATGGGAATTAGTGTATTACAAAGACTGCATCTCAAACCAGTGGTGAAATTTAGTTTATTCAATAATTGATGTTGACATTTCTGGGGAACCATCTGGAAAAAGGTAAAGTTGAATCCATAGCTCATACTTTACATTAGGATGGCCTTCAAATGGAGCAAACATTTAAATGTGAAAAACTAAGCCATAAAAATTTTGTAAGAGGGGCACCTGAGTGGCTTAGTCAGTTAAATGTCTGCCTTCGCCTCAGGTCATGATCCCAGTGCCCTGGGATTGAGTACCGCATCGGGCTCCCTGCTCAGCAGGAGAATCTGCTTCTCCCTTTCTCTCTGCTCCTACCACCGCTCGTGCTTGCTTTCTGTCTCTCTTTCTCTCACTCTCTCTCTCAAATAAATAAAAATCTTTCAAAAAAATTTTTTTCAAGAAAAAAATGGAAGATGTAAGACCACATACCATAAAACTAGAATAAAGGTGATAAGCTCCTTGGCGTCAGTCTTAGTGATATTTTGGGGATCTGACTCCAGAAGCAACGGCTACAAAAGCAAAAATAAACAAATGGGACTCCACCAAACTGAAAGGCTTCTTTCTGCACAGGGATATAAACCATCAACGAAATAAAAAAGGAACCTATTGAGTGGGAGAAGATATTTGCAATCACATATCAGATAAAGGGTTAATATCCAGAACATATAAAGAACTCATATAGGTCAGTAACAAAAAAAGCAAGCAATCTGATTTAAAAAATGAGCAGAGGATCTGAATAGACATTTTTCTAAAGAAGATATACAGAAGGCCAATGAAAAGATGCTCAACATCACTAATCATCAGGGAAATGCAAGCCAAAACCACAATGAGATATTACCTCACGCCTATAAGAATGACTATTATCAAAAAGACAAAAGTTAACAAGTATTGGCAAGGCTGTAGAGTTGTTGGTGAGATTGTTGGTGGGAATGTAAATTATGTAGCCACTGTGGATAACAGTGCCGAGATTGCTCAAAAATCTAAAAATAGAACTACCATACAATCCTGTAATTCCGCTTCTGGGTATATGTATGAAGAAGACAAAAACACAAATTCAAAAAGGTATATGCACCCCTGTGTTCTTTGCAGCATCATTTATAATAGCCAAGATGTGGAATCAACCTAAATGTCCATCAGTGGATGAACGGATAAAGAAGATGCAGTGTATGTGTGTGTACACAATGGAATACTATTTGGCCATA